ATGAAGCGTGTGTATGTTAGTTTGATATTAGGTCAATTTTCAGCAGAGACTCCAAAAATTGTTTTTTAAAACCAAGTAGGCTTTACATATCCACTATCCTTAGTAGAAGACCCTTTTACCCTCAGACTTGATGATCTGTTTAGGTCCCTCCTGACCCTAGCTACTATGATACTATGACTATGATACATTTGCATAAAGCTATTTTGATTTTATCCCCTCAAAATCTGTCAGTCCACTACACCAGCTATTCCACCATTCCTCTTCCAAAACATCTTCTCTTATAGTGCATCTTTCAAGGTTCTTGTTTATCATCTTTCCCAGTTGTTTATTCAACTTACTCTTCTGTTAGTCATAGGCACAAATGCTTAGTTTTGATTTAAGCTTACGTGCAGAAAGAGCAGTTCTGTTGAGTTACAACTACCATAAACACAACTTGTTGCACTAAAATTAAAACAAAAAACCCAGGGATGAACTCCCTGTTCAATTTCCTGACTCTTGCGATGATCATAACAGCTCTGTACTGTTGGAAGTTTTCCTTGAAGCCCAAGAATTGCACTATGAATTGTAAGGGGTTCCAGCAACAGAAGGTGAATACTGAATAGCAACATCCCAAATTCATCCATTCTTAAACTCCAGCAATTTGTGTGCATGCTGGGAAGCAAATATGTCCAAAATACTTGCAAGTCCAGGAGTTCCAAACATGAAAGAAAAGCTACCACAAGCTGTACTAATGATTTTTTCCACAACTGTACTCATGATTTTTGTGGCTTCTGTTTATTCAGTTCAATGAGAATAGTGGTTTGGGGGGGGCGGGGGGGTGTCACACTGTGCACTGACCTAATGGTAAAGGTGCCAGCCTTTGGATGCCAGTTTATAAAGCCTTTGACAGCATGCTTGCTGATGTCAGCGCTGAAGGATAAATTCACAGGACACAAATACTCTTTCATCAATGACTGTTGAAGCATTAAAGCAACTTCATCAACTCAAGAAATGAATCAGTTCAATTTTCCAGATGCCCTGACAGAAGGCTTTTTGTAAGAAATAAGGAATCTGGAAAGAAAGAGGATGTGCTCATTAACATTAAAGGAAGATGAAGGAGCTCTCAGAAATTTCAATACTAGGTCACATTAGAAAGAAAGATGGTCTCCTACAAGTATGGTAGTGAAGGGTGAGCAATGGCTGTCTGTCTGAATTAATTTAATCAAAGTTGAGGAGATCTCATTTTTGCGGTATACATTTGTATCCCTTCTGTATTTTACTTAAAAATAAACATTAAAATAGAAAAGAAAGTTTTTTGAATGGATGCCAGTTTTGCTTGCAGGGTGGATTTTTTGTCTCATCCACATGACAAATTATGGCTGCACACATGGCAATCAGAATTTTTTTGACAGAAATTTCTTAAAAGGTTCTGTCAAACCCTCAAAGTAGAACAAGCAAACTGTTTCAATACATATCAACACAAATTTCCTTTGAAAGCACAACTAGCGTATTTTGTGTCTGGAACACAGAAGTGAAAAGGCAACAGAAAAGGGTTACATTAGCAAAAAGACAGACCAGACAACTTGATAGGGAAGATGCCCATTTACTGCCAACAAATGTGATTCACTGCATTTATAAGATAAACGGATATCAGTGTATTCTAATAGCTTTGATCCTGCAATCATTTAAATATTCTTCAACTTTAGCTATATGCCAGTTAGTTGGATTAGTCAGATGTTTGCGGACTTGAACTCTGTTTTAAAACTAAAGGTCTGTGTAAACCTGTTGTTACAGACTGAACCAAGAGATGACATCTTAGTGTTTGATCTCTTTAATCAAAAGAGAATCTCTCCCCTTTTCTTCCCAGCTGTGAAAACAGTTGTCTCAGCAATGGGGAAGGCTGCACTTCTTGCAAAAAAGTCAAGCTGTACTTTAAATTAAAGATCAATTTCACCCATTGACACGGAGTAAAAAAAAAAAAAAAAAAAAAAAAAAAAATAA